ACCAATACTGTAATGTGTGCCTTACTGTAATCCATGGTTGTTTCTCTTCTCTTTGCTGCTCTTCCTTTTAAATCCTCATGTCTTCTCATGCTTGGGGAGAACTTCCCTTTGCAGCTCAGGGCCTCTTCCTTTAGTGCTGGCTCAGGTTGCAAGCCTATACAAACATATACACAGACACCATGTATCCATTCCTGAGATAAGGCAGTCTGCTGCAAAACAGAGGTTCTGCCCAGCATGAGAACAGATACAGATTTAAAAGGAAGAGCAGCAAAGAGAAGGGAAACAACCATGGATTACAGTAAGGCACACATTACAGTATTGTTTTATGTAAAAAAATCTGAGGGTTTAATGTCACTTTAACTACTTGTATGTCGTACAGATTTTTTTTTTCCCAGGAGCTCTTTTTCAAAACATATCGAAACCCAAAAAACGAAAATGTAAATGTTGTGCAATTGACCAATCCTTAGAGGTACTTGCTGCATTAGTTTTACTTTTTCAGCATTTTTTCCCTTTATTTTAAACTGGTGATCCTGACACTTCCTGTCTTGAGGTGACAACGCTAACCCACTGTACTGTATCTATGGAGGAGCAATTGTTCCTGGGACATGTAGTTCCACAACAGCTGGAGTGCCAAGGTTGCCTACCCCTGCACTAAACTATAACCTATGTGTTATTTGCCTTAGCAATCCATTTTTTCAGGCATGTGACTCTTCTTTGCAGTTCTCATTGGCTCTCCCTGCTCGAAATAACAGTTGTTATGGCCAATCCTAATCTCTAAGGCTTAGTGAACGTACCCTTTTATCTGCTGATTGTTGCCCTATGTGTCTACATAAAACCCCAACAATTAGCTTTTTTTATTTGCCATTGAGCTTGTAACTTCTTGTCCTATCTGTCTCTGCTGTGCTCAAGTCTCCAACAGTGTTATCAGTCCTGCCTGGTTCAACTCCGGAAACTACAGAACACCTCCCTCTTACATTATGAAGATGACGGGGATGTGTGCTGTAATTCAAATCAGGAGTAAGCACCCTATGGTGATTACACTGCTCCTCCATAAATACAGTAGAGTCAGTAAGCGTTGTCACTCTAAGGCTGGGCACACACCTTACAACCATTGCAAGACTTTCGTCTTGCGATGGTTGTAAGGTACTTAAAAAAACGTACAATCTGCCTATCTTGCATAGGCAGATCGTACTTGCGATGATCGCAAGCCACGCCGCAATGCCGCTTGCGCACACCGGCCCGTCCGGCTTTTATCTTACAAACATGCTACACACCCGCCGAACATCGTACGATGCTCTGCGGGTTTGCAAACATGTTCGTAAGTTTAAAGTGGTGCGACCTTACAGTAGTAGAGCTTCCACACACCTTATGATAATCGTACGATCGCGGGATTTCCTGCGATTATCGTAAGGTGTGTGGGGACCTTAGGACAGGAAGTGTGTTACTGGCAGGATCACCAGATGAGAATAAAGGAAAGAAAGCCTGAAAAAGGAAAACAACAGCAGCCACCACATAGGAGGACTGGTAGATTGTAATATTTTTCATTTTTGTTTCTGGGTTGGAATACTCCCTGAAAACGTTGCCTTACATGCAGTTTGTGCAAGAGCTCGTTCATAATTGGTCGGTTTTCATCAAGTGACGGTCTAAGACAAACGTCTGAAAGACTTCAACCCGGGCGAGTGAACCTTTGAAAGGATTGGTTGTTTTTTTTGGCTGGAACAATTGTTCACATTCCAAAAATCTCCAAGCTGTCATATGAACGTGTCAGAGTCAATTGCTTCTACTGACTTGTATCTAATGACTACAGGCACTTTTATAAGGCATTGTCTGGAGCAGGGCTGGGAAACTCCGGCCTGCCAGCTGTTGTGGAACTACAAGTCCCATGAGGCATTGCAAAGGTGACAGTTACAGGCATGACTCCCAGAGGCAGATGCGTGTTGGGATTTGTAGTTAAAGCACAGCTGGAGAGCCAGAGTTTCCCACCTCTGACCCCTGATCTAGACATATACCAGTCATTGAAAACTGAGCAAAAAAAGGGTAAAGGATTCATTTTACGCTACAATATCCTGTGTTTTTTCATCATCAGTTCTGGAAGAATTCCAGCCACACGTGAGGGCGTCCTTGTTCATGACAGTTTATTGCGGCCCATGATCCAGCTCTGCCCCATGATACTCCCTGTGACACATAGTCAGCTTTTTAATGACTCTGATATTTGAATCACTTAGTATGCCAGATTTGCATAATGGCATTTCATCTAGATTGTTAGGTTCTTCCTCCAGTGGCTGAATGTTAGGCAGTGCAGCCAGCAGCCCTACTGTACAATAAATCCCTGTTGATATAATAACAGTTACACTATAAGCCACATACATAGCGTTGTTTCCAGAGAGACTAAGCCAGCTTTTCTCAATGAGGGTTCCTCCAGAGGTCGCTGGAGCATTGAGCAATTCCTACCTGTTAGACAAGTAACCACTGACACCAGCGATGTTTTAGATATCTGTAAGGGGCGCATTCTTCTTACTGACCACCAAAGTAAGGAGCATTCTTCCCACTGATCACCAAAGTGAGGAGCATTCTTCTCACTGACCACCAAAGTAAGGAGCATTCCTCACACTGACCACCAAAGTGAGGAGCATTCTTCTCACTGATCACCAAATTGAGGAGCATTCTTCTCACTGATCAACAAAGTAAGGAACATTCTTCCCGCTGACCACCAAAGTGAGGAGCATTCTTCTCACTGATCACCAAAGTAAGGAACATTCTTCCCGTTGACCACCAAAGTGAGGAGCATTCTTCTCACTGATCACCAAATTGAGGAGCATTCTTCTCACTGATCAACAAAGTAAGGAACATTCTTCCCGCTGACCACCAAAGTGAGGAGCATTCTTCTCACTGATCACCAAAGTAAGGAACATTCTTCCCGCTGACCACCAAAGTAAGGAACAATCTTCTCAATGACCACCAAAATGAGAAACATTCTTCCCACTGACAACCAAGGTAAGGGGCATTCTTCCCCCTGACCACCAATGTAAGAAGCATTCTTCCCCCTGATCACCAATGTAAGAAGCATACTTCCCACTGACCACCAAACTGAGGAACATTCTTCCCACTGACCCCCAAGTGAGGAACATTCTTCCACTGACCACCATGCTAATGCACCTTGAGTTGTACATATATTAATTACTGTCAGGGGTTGACTGAGATCTGAAAGTTATTTCAAGGATTCCTCTGTGTTAAAAAGGTTTAGCTTGAGGTCTAAGCTAACATGTAGTCCTTTAGTAAGATATGAGGAGCAGTAACGATTGGTCATTATTCTGCAGTATTACAGGAAACACAGCATGTATATGAGATAAATATACCTTGTAGTCTGAGGTACATACTGTATGCAATTTACAATGACATGCATGGAGAGGCATATTTGTTTTGTTTTAGATACTAGGGTGGATCATTTGTCAAATTTGTATTGATGTCTATGTCCTTGCTTGGGAGATTTCTCTCTCTATTTGTTCTGATGATCATTGTCACCAAAAGTGAGGGGAAATCCCAAAATGTGAGTTCTTATGAGAACAGGATGTGAGTGAAAATTCTTCAATGTTCTTATAACAATCTAAAATAGAAATTCTTCTAACTTTAAAGAGATTTCTTTTAATTTCCTGTTGCGTCTCCAAGACAGGAAGTAATATGAAATCTCCCCAGCAGGACAACGGCAGCCTACAATAGTTTTACATGAGTTTTAGCCCTCTCTACTCCATCCAAAGTAGAATTAGTCATAAGAGTCATTCATTTAAACTTACCGTATGCACATGTAGATACAAAATAAGGGTATAGATGTCTTTTAGGGCCTGTTCACATGAGAACAGGTCCTGATCAGGTGCTGATCAGCAGACGTGGAGCTGCTTATGCAGTGCGTTCTTGACGCGTTTTAGCGTGTTTTGGACGCGTTTTTGATGCGTTTTCGGTCCGGATGCTGACAGTTCATTTTTTTTTTTTAGCCAAGGGGCTGTCAGTATGCAGATTCAGCCTCTGAGGGTTTTTTTGTCCTTAGCTGCATTGCGTTTCCGTTCCGTTTTCGTTGCATTTCGTGCGCGTTCGTGCGTTTCCGTACCGGACAAAATGTGACATGCAGTATTTTTCTGTCGTAACCTGAACGGACTGCGCACGTGAGAACTGTAGCCCATAAAACACATAGGGATACATTGGGATGCATTTTGAGTGCAGCAGCGTACGGATCCGGCCAGCACACAAAACGGACGTCGTATGAACAGGCCCTTAATGAGGAGGACATGTTATCAAGGCTTGGGCCACATTGTACTTTGAACAAAAAGGCATCTCCAACTGTTATAGTCACCCAGTCTCCAGCGCTGTCCCCCCACAGATGCACTGATCCAACCATGTGGCTCCATTCCTTTTGCGGTGGGTGCCATACATCCCACTAAGACAGGGAGTCAAGGCTCCATCCACCTACCTGGAAACACAGGAAAATTCTGCAGAGAGGAGAACCTTGTCATCATCTGGCATCCCTCTCTGCAGCATTTAGGGCCTGCCCACTGCCAGAGGAGGAAGAGGGCAAAGAGGACACATGGCATCATCAGACTGGACCAGAGAGTGCTGGAAAAAAGTGTGTTAATGGGCCAGCTAACAGGGGGATAAGAACAAATGGGGAGACCTGTGCCCGGAGTTGGGTTTTAATTGGTAGGCAGAGGATAGGTTTGTGATGAGGCTTCAGCCCTTAGAAGCAGAGGAGAAAAGTGAGGTCACCAACCTGGCTATACTGAAATCCAATGTCTGCATCTAAGAACTGCTAATTTTTTGGCTGGTGAGATAAATCACATACAGTATATGTATATGTATTTCAGGCTGTTTGTCTACCATTTCAAAGAGATGCCTTGTCAGAAAATAAAGAATAGGCACCTGCAATACTTATAACATGCGTTCCCAACTAATGTGGGTGACACACGTCTAATCCGAGGTGACATTTGTATATTTCCTGTTAGGGGCTAACAATGGCTTTTTTTTTTATCTCCTTCCACAGGTACCTCCTGGTCATGGGATCTGTGGAGCCCTTGGGCCTTCTCTCCCGATTGTACATCTACTCCATCCATGGATACGTGTGTGAAGTGCTCTTCACGGCTTGCATGGACTTTGTCGTCAGCAGGGACTGGAGGTTCCGGGGTGTCTCCAGTGTCTGGGCACTCTTCATCTATGGAGTAGCCATGTTGGGTGTAGAGCACATGTACTTGTCACTGAGGTTCCACTGCAGCTTCCTCCTCCGCGCACTTCTCTATACCTTCTGGGTGTACTTTTGTGAGTTCAGCTGTGGATGGATACTGAAGAGCTTGAAAGCCTGTCCTTGGGACTACAGTCACTACAAATACAACTTTAAGGGCCTTGTGACCCTGGAGTACGCTCCCTTCTGGCTATTAGGATGCATCTTCTTAGAGAAATATCTGATTTGGTACACACTACACTTGCGTCTGGATGGAAGCTGGGAACCAGAGACAGAAAGCCTGAAGATGGACTAGGTGGTGTCCCATTAATGTGGAAAGACTGAACTAGACTTTTAATTATTGGACAAAAACTTCACTAGGAAAAGAGGTTGTAGATGAATAATAGTGAGTCTTTTTATGTGCAATACTTACAGTTTTATATATACTATGAACTTATTTGGACTACAAAAACAATACATGAATTAAAAAAATGTGCATTAGTACCTTGCATTGTACCTAATTTGTTAGGAAGTCAAGAGGAATACATGGCAAACATGTTTATCGGAATATCAGATTACTAAATCATCATCATTTGGATATTGTGCTAGTAAAGTGGAACCATGGGCACAATGAATAATGACATATAAGATACAGCCCGATTTACAAAGCTCTTTTTCTGAGTAAGATACTTTTATTTCCTGTTATTCCTACCAGTAGATCTTGCGATCCATGCACCCATACCAGATAGCACAGCCTGGTCCATCACCTTTCTGCACCTACACTGAAGTTAAGCAATGTAAGCTTGGTCTGGGACCCGCCCCGGTCTGTGATTGGGCAATGAAAAAACAGCAGCATACTATGCCTGATGAGGGGGGTTACCAGGGAAGAGCGGCTTCAGGACAGATTACACATGCAAATTCCACTTAAAAGCACATATTTATTCTTTAATATGAATTAAAGAAGTATTCTTTGGAGTGTCTGGAGTTCTGGCGACCTATACTTATACAATGTGATCATTACTTTGCCTTACGAGGCTAGGTTCACACCTACGGGATCCGTGACCCCGCAGATTGCCGGGCGGTCACGGAGTCTGCCTCTGCCACCACAGCCGATCGCGCTGACGGTGCCATTATTTTCTAATGGCACCCCAGTTGCACCGGTTGGATTGCGCGGTTTCCCACCACAGCTCCGCCCGTGCAATTAAACACGATCACGTGTACCTTTTTTAGTGATTGCCGCGCAAACGTAACCCCACTGAAATCAATGGGGCCGCACGGGAACCCCTGTGTGCACCCGCACATGATCGCGCAGTCCTGGGTCTCACTCAGGTCTGAACCTAGCCTTAAACCCTAACACAGAAGCCTAATTTAGGTCTTATGATACAAGCTGACAATACTCATCCTCCCAATTGTGCTTTGCGTTGTCACCCTTCTGATGGGACTATAAGTGGCTGTTTCAGCACACATTACAACGTAGCCTGCTCTTGCCACCATTACCCAACCTATCCTGACAAATGCAATGCCTTCATCACTAGAGTGCACGTGGCTGCAAAGACGCTGCATGAGATCAGCAGCACTGAGATGCAAATTATCACAAAAAAATTTGAAATCAGGTATTTTACTAAAAAAAGGGGCAATTGTTTATTATATGCAATATTGTTATTTCCTGTTTCTGCTTCCTGATCTACAAACTCAAATTCAACGGGTAGCTCTTTTGCTGATAAACACAGGTTTCCAGCGTGGAAGCAGTCTGTTTACATCAGGGGTAGGCAACCTCATCACTCCAGCTGTGGATAAACCACAAATCCCATCATGCTTCTGCCTCTGGGAGTCATGTCTGTGCCTGTCAGTGTCTTGCAATGCCTCATGGGACTTGTAGTTCTACAGCAGCTGGAGTGCCGAAGGTTGCATAGCTCTGGTTTACATCATTTCTTCCTGCAGTAGCTGCTCCCCATCACTAGAGGGAGCAGAAGGGAACTTTGTATTGGGGTCATTTAGCAGTGTATCCTCTGTGATCCCTCTGCATTTGTCCACTGTTCCTTCAGATAGGAAATCCAGACAGTTCCCATCCCTGATTGCACTAGAGCAGGGGAGCACGTCCCTCCTCTGAGTCTTTCAGCTGAATATGTGCAATCTGATTGGCTGCTGAAACATTTCTGATACTAGTCTCACATTGGTTGCCTGGCGGTATATTGTAAATATGACAGATATGACAGATTAAATTCCGGAGAAGTAGACAATTTATTTGGAAGAGCAGATTGTACTCTGCCAATGTGTCACCGCAGTCAGATAGAGCCCAGCCCTTCACAGCCCCGGGGCAAAATATGGCCTAGATTAGCGCTCTGACTCACTCTCTTTTTATATATAATCATCCAGGTGATACCTATTAAAGGGCAGACAACAAAAATACATTTGAATAGGCGGTATAATATAATAGGTACCTGAACTGCAGCTCAAGCTGAACTCTGGGATAAGCAAATATTGTCCTCATACAAGAGTCATGTGTATTGTAACCTGAATCTTGATGAGCTTTGTGTATTTCTTCCAGATCTGTGCGGTAATCCAGTGTGAAACTTGGAGCTTCCCAGAGACCAGTCACAGCTACTCTCTCTCCTTGTGCAAGGTTACCGGTCTTGTCTCTGCCCACTCTGCCCCTCCCACAGGTCTGCTTTTTGCACAGGAATAGTTCAAACTTTTCAAGTTTTTTGTGCCATTGAGATTTACCTTTATTTCCTGTTCTGTAGACACAACAGGAAGTGAAAGGAAATCTCTACAATGTGAAGGAAATCCCTTCCCTTAGACAGTTGTCACAGGAACAAGTATCTCCATTGGAAAATAATCTCTCTATTCCTAGGTGGGGGTGCATGCTCAAGAAAAGGGTAAGGTGTTTGGTTATTTGGGAATTTAGGGTTAGCGGGTAGATTGAGGAAAACATTGGTGATTGGGATGCACCGATACGGTTCTTTCGGTATTGAGTACGAGTACCGATATTTTGTTTTCGGTACTCACCAATACCGAATACCGATACCGGGCGTCCCATTAAGGAAGCCAGCTGTCATGTAATAACTCGCTACCTGGCTTCCTGATTAGCCGGCTCTATGCTCCCTCCTCACCAGGTGAGGAAGAAGCACGGAGCCGGCTTTCTGGCCAATCCAGAACCTTAGGGGTGGGTAATGACTCGCCGCCCGGCTTCCTGATTGGCCAGCTTCCCGACCAATCAGGATGCCGGGCGGTGAGTCATTACTCGCCATCCGGCTTCCTGATTGGCTGGGAAGCCGGCTCCATACTCCCTCATCACCAAGTGCATAGAGCCGGCTTTCTGGCCAATCAGGAGGCCGGGGGTGGGTAATGACTCCCTGCCCAGCTTCCTGATTAGCCAGCTTAATGCTCCCTCATCACCAGGTGATGAGGAAGCATGAAGCCGGTTTTCTGGCCAATGAGGAAGCTGACGGGTGGATAATGACTCGCCGCCCGGCTTTCTGATTGGCCAGCTTCCCGGCCAATCAGGAAGCAAGCGAGTGGGTAATAACTTGCCCCCTCCTGTTGGGGCTCCATGTTCCCTTGTCCCTGGTGAGCATGGAGCCAGCTTCCCAGCCAATCAGGAAGCCGGGTGGCATGTAATGACTCGAAGTTCTGGTATCAGGATAAGTATCGGGAGTATATGAGCGAGTACTCACCCAAATACTCGGTATTGGCACTGATCCAGATACTAGTATTGGTGCATCCCTAATTTGTATAGTAACAGATTTTGTGGTGTGATCAATGAGTGTATCTGGTGTGATAAGTTTGTTGCCATGATTACTGCACCCAAAATATCTGCACTCACTTTAATAGACTGGAAACAAAAGTACCAATTTTAAAGAAGAACTCTGGATAAATTACAAATTAACACTTAGTAACACGCAGTAGGTCTTCCCACACTGGGCTAGGGCTAAAACATAAAAGATATACTCACTTGCTACTTGGCCCTGCAAGGAAATACTAGCAGTGTATGACCAGCTTTAGACAACAGGGCGAGCTCTCCCCTTAGGGTCACAAAGCCAGGCAAGACCTAAGAAGAAGAACGTTCTTCACGCAGTCCAAGTTGGAGTTGTGCCGTGACTGCTGGTGCATTCTTCTTGTACAATGGCTGTTCTGCTCCGACTAACAAGTAGAATACGTCTTCCTCTATCTGGAAAAAAAAGTCCCCGCTCTGCCTGCAATGTAACAATGGAAACAAGACTCGTATCCCAAAACAAACATTCACATGTGTGAATCATTATGCCCAGCACCTTCTTCTTGTCTTTGTATAAAGACTCTTCTGTAGAGACATCGGGACTGCCCCCCCAATTCAGAGTTCCTCTTCAAATGTTTAATTTGATTTTTTAGACCCATTTTCAGGATGTTATATGAAACATGGTTTAGGGTGGCTCCTTTCCCTTGCAGGGTCCTATAGAGCCACCAGTGACGTGCTGTGCCTTCTGTGGTGGGTGAGGCATCCCCCAGCCCGCCGAAGCTCCGCCCCGCCAAAGCCCCCGCACTGCCGAAGCCCTGCCCCCAGCTCGGTAACCAAGCTGTGTGGGGGGGGAGGAGACAGGGAGGAGCCTCCCTGTCCCTCACTTGCTCGTCACTAGTGAGGCATCGAGATCGATGTCTTCACTGTTTTTTTTTCTTTCTTTTGTTTGATTGGACAGCTTGGACTAATGGTGCTTTGCCATTGATCCAAGCCATGCACAGAGCTCACGCCTCTAACACAGGGCAGAGGCTGTGACAGCTCTGGCCTCACTATGTTAGGTTACACAAGCAGTAGGGAAGCCGCTGCTCTGTAACCTAACTACCTGTCAAAAGCCAGATGCAGCGCTGCCTGTAATTAACAGGCAGCGCTCCGTCAATGACAGGTTACACAGTGGGGAGTCTATCCCTGGAAGCCACCCTTGTGTGCGCTATTAAGCTGCGTGTGTCTTCACAAACACACAGACACAGATAAGCAAGCCAATTCCCTGCCCTCTGCTTCTCTCCCTCCTGCTCCTCCCTTCTTCAAGATAGTAGATGGACGGCTGCAGGAGACTGCTCTGTCCCTTGTGATCTTGTACCGGACAGGAAGTTCAGGGAAGCTGAGCCGAGAGTGTTGGAGCTGTTTAGAAACATGATGACTATAAGAGCTTGGATGAAAATGTAAAGAAATTCTTTGCTGGGCGATGTATATTTGTTGATTCTGGATTCATTATTGAAATGTTTTAGAGTTTAATATTACTTTAATCTGCGACTCTGGATATTGGTCTATCGGGTGATGCAAAGTGCAGTGTGTCGCGATCCATGCCAACTAGAAGTCTAATC